AAAGGCCAAGCCGGGCAGATGTAGGCTGAGCACAGCCGAGTTTCCTGCGCAGCTCCCCGGGGGAGGTAACCCGGACGGCCCGCTCACCTGGTCCAACAAGAAAAAAGCAGCAACATGCGGGAACCGACGCGCGACGAAAACCCAGTTCAGACTCCGCAGCCGCGCCGAAAGTTTGAAGCGAAGTTTAAACTTCCAGGTGGCTTCACAGAGAGGCGGATGCTGCGGGATTTTATCCCGCTGTGGCGCATTACAGCCCGGTCCTGGTCACCGCCGTGTCCGTCTTCCGTGAACCCGGAGCCGCCAAATTGCGCCGAGCCAGCTCCGCCGCCGTCTTCCACCAGGAGCGAGCTCAGCTCCGAGTCGGCTTCCTCCCACTCTCCTCCTCCTCCTCCTCCGAGCAGTTCATTACACCCGCGTCAAGAGCGTGGGAGTTAAACACCCTGTTCCTGTTTAAACCTTTAAAAATAAACGATTAAAAAAGTGGGATTTACAGTTTTAGCTAGCGCTGCATCCTTTCTAGATTCTTCTTCTTCTGCTTTTTCTTCTTCTACTACTTCTGTTTCTTCTTCTTCGCTTTATTAAAGGCGATCGGCTAGCATTTTGGCTAGCTATTCTACTATCTTGAAACTTATACATTCTAAACCTATTTTAATTATACTTTTTTCGTTAGGGATATAAATTACGCAAACTTTTTTTTTAAATCTTAAATATCAATAATCATTTGTTATAACTTTCAGCATTTACATTGTTTATTGCGTTTTGCCTGGGTAAAATTTGTAATTCAGTGGGCTTTCATGGGATTAAAATATAACTTTTTTTTTGTTTTAATTTTAGCATGAAAAAATAAAACACTTTAGTATAAGCTGCAGTTCTGCAAGAAAAAAAGTAAAACATTTATTTTGGAATTGCTTGTTTCCGCTTCAGAGGGTGAACTTCCGGTACCTTGACGAAATTCCCGTCTTTTCGTTCAGCGCCGTTTCCGGTTTTCGCGTCTGACCCGGAATAATGAATGAAACAGCGCGACCCTCTGGTTCAACTTGAACACTGATCCGTTTACATCAAATCCGTTTTTAATTTAATGCAAACAAATCAAGAATATTTGTTGTTGTTTAACAGACAAAACATTTTGGAATTATTTTATCTTTAATTGTTCTTTTTAAGAAAGTTTTGTATTATTCTTGAGACGCACTACTTTGCTCCGTTCATCCTTTAAGTTTGTACTGAATAACATTATTGTGGGGTCAAAGGTGTCACATCAATTAGATGTGAGGGGGACACTTTAAAGAATATATTCATTTGGACCCCCCCCCCCCCACACACACACACACACACACACACACTTAACCGAAAGACTGTTACAGAAGCGTTTAACTGCCGTTAAATGTATCAATAACGCGTGCCTAATGATATGTCATGTATCATTGGGCACTTTTAAGTGGGTGTACTTTCATTCTTAAGATTTTCTACTGCGTATACTCCATATGCCCGAGTATCACGTAGACTACTGCTCTAAACTGTCCCTAGTTGTGAGTGAGAGAGTGAATGTTTGTCTCATTTGTCTCCATGTGGCCCTGTGATGGACTAGAGACCCGCAACCCAAAAAGGAAGAAATGGGTAAAGATTTATTTTTAACTTTATTAAAAAAAAACAAAAGAACATGACAATCTCAAATTACAAAATGATACATATGTAAATAATCCTCTGTCATACTTCCTAAGGTCAATATTTGCACAAATAAGTTTAGCATATTATTCAGCTCAAATTTAAAGTTAAGTAACATTATTAGTAACAGCAAATATTGTGAAAAAATAAAAGCAAAACACAGAACTATTTATCTAAAATTCTACTTATCGACTAAAATAATTTGTTAGAGGGCTATATTATCTGAGCGAGGTGATAAGAGAGCTTTTTTGCTTGTGATATTTTAACACTGTCCAATGAAAATTTTAACATCTGGAGTTCTTGTTTGAATATAGACTATAATGGCTTAGATCGACCACATCTGCAATTATGGAAGCGGGTAAAGATAATGGATGGATGGATGTTCTCAGGTCTCTCCCTGAGGCTCAATGAGACTAACCTGTATATGAATTAATGTTTGTCTCTTTGTGAACAAATCCATTCCACTTGATTAATGGGAGAATACTCAAACCACTAAAACTCCACTCCAGGTTTTCCTGGTTACCTACAACCCACAGCAGCTCCAACAATGCTGCCTAAAAAACACATCACATTAAGATTTCTTCGCTGCCTTTACATTCGACGTGGGTGTGTGATTAACTTGGCAAACCTGGAATATGGCGTCTAAATTAAAGAAAAATAATTATATGCATTTTACATCCACTGGGGACTTGGCTCCGCCCCCGCCCGATCCCAGCGAGCCAGACCTGCCAGACGGACATTAGAGCGGAACTCTCTGCTGCGATTAGGTCAGAGGTGAAGGCCGCCTTCGGAGAAGATCTCGTCCTTATTAAGAAGAATCTTCGGGACTATGAGAGCGGATCTGGCTGACAACAACTCTGTGTTCAGAACGGAGATGGACCAGGTGAACCAAAACATGAAACATGTCCGAGATGACCTGTCCACCGAGACGAACGAAGCTCACGCTCCGCGCAGCACCATCTTTTCTTTTATAATGTTTAACAGCAGAGTGATCTGTCAATCAGCGTGAGTGGGTTGGACCTGCGCGCCCATTTTCCTTCACAGCACAGGCACAAGACATAAATGTACGGCTGTACAAAACAGGACTTAAGGAAACGGCAGAGGAAGATCACAGGATGCACGAGACGCGAGAAAACATGCAGTCATAAAGAGACGATGGACGCATAGGGAGACAAAAAGGACGTCAGGAAAAATATGAAGGCGTAAAAATAGGACAAGGAAAGAAATGAGCCTAATGGAGACAAGAAGGACGTATAACAAATGCATAGATACAAAAAGGTACATCAAGAAACAAAAGCACAAGGATACTGTAAAGGACAAACACGTGAAAGTATAAGGAGACAACATGGAGACAATAAGGACACACAGAGACATAAGCAATCATAAAAAGTTAAAATACATCAAAAAAGAAGAAAATATTCTGAAGACTTTTAAAAGCACGACAACTTTTTAAGGATTTTCTGAGATCTTAATGAGTTTCTATGGGGAAATTAAAAAAATATTGTTTTTTAGTATGGTGGTGAAGTGGTTAGAGCTCGCATCGCACAGTGAGATGGTCACAGGTTCACCTCCCGCTTCAGGCTTTTCTGGGTAGAGTTACATGTTCTCCCTGTAGATGTATGGGTTTCCAGTGTCCCCTGCGTCTCAAACAGCATCTGCTGGACATGGGGGAAAAAAAGCAGGTAAAAAGAAAAATGGATATTCATTCACAAAGACTGCTGATTTTTGAAGGAATGGGTTGTCTCCACTCACATTCGTCTGAAATGTCCCTCATGCTCCGACTGCCACATTAAGAGCGCAGGCGTACTGAGGGACCAGCAGCGAGCAGAGAAACCCCCGACTCTTCAGGAGAAACTCCTGCTAAGATTTTAGTTCAGTGGAATTTATCTTTTTAAGGTGGGACATAAAGTGACTTCTTCCAGCAAAACTAAGAACTTTAACACTGCAGGTTTACTTGTGCTTCCCAGTTTCTAAAAGTAAAACTAAGAACTTAAAAATTGCAAATTTACTTGTGCTTCCTAAGTTCCTAGTTTCTAAAAGTACAGCTATAACTTACAACACTGCAGGTTTACTTGTTTCATAGAGTTTCTACAAGATAAGAATTTAAACACTGCAGGTTTACTCGTTTCTTAAAAGAAAAGCTAAGAACTTACACTGCAGGTTTACTTGTGCTTCCTAGAGTTTCTAAAAGTAAAGCTATGAACTTAAAACACTGCAGGTTTACTTGTGCTTCCCCGAGTTTCTAAAAGGAAAGGTAAGAAT